CAACCAATAAGTCCCGAAATAAATAAGTTGACCCCGTCAACGGACGGTCCCCAACACGCAGAACTCACACGGCGATGATATGTCACGTGACGTGAATGCGCGATTGAAACAATTTTACTAACGGGTCCGACTAACTGCACGTTCACACAAAACACTCGGATGAGCGACAGTTGTTCTACTTCTAGGATAACGACGGCGGCCGACGACCAAATGTACCAACAAATTTCTTATCCCTCATGTGTTCAAACTAAAGCAACGACAACAGCCGTATGCTAGTCTTGTCACCGCAGTTACTGTTAGTTGTGTAAGGGTTAGAAAGACTGTTGCTCGTCCGAGTGTTTGATGTGAACGCACAGTAGACCTCGGACAAGGCTTGTTTTGAAAGTAACAGGGGAACTACGAATATTATCGATTATTAAATGTCCCAAATTGTAACCGTTACCAGGCTATCATCGGAGAATTCTGAGTGCGGGAAAAGATCACACACAACTTGGGGCAAGTCAACTACTATATTATGTGGCATCGATATTTCTGGAAATACATATATATATCTAGAATCTAGTGCTCCGAGTTCCCACTGACAAAAAGTTCGACGGGTGCTTCCCGCGATAAAGGAGAAGGTAGAGTAAGTTTTTAGAAAAATCCGGCACAACAGCAGACTGGGACAAAAAATCGGGATACACGCGATCGAAATCGGGAAAATCAGGATGCTTGAGATTTGGGGCATAAAATCGGGATCCCGACTAAATCGGGATGAGTGGCAGGTCTGAGAAAATCTGGGGGGTTACAGGGGGGCATGCCCCCTGTTTTTACACCCATAATTTGATATTTTACAGTTAGATTTGAAATTGTATTGAAAATAATTGATTTGCGACAGTTTTAGTGGCTTTATGTGTGATCTGCAGCAAACAGTACAGCAGTTTGACCCCTGAAACAGTGCATCTGTGTGCGGGAGTGAAAGTAAAAATTTACCGACTAATCATTAGTCATGTTTTGTCATCTAAAAAAAAAAGAAGGGAAAAAGGCAAAATTTGATCAAATTTTAAATGAGCAATGTGCACTGGAAATGGTTGATCATCGATACCGTCCCATTGCAAGACAGTGCACTCTACTGTAGCCAGTCAACAACAACAGTCAATACTCAAACTGTACTGTTCTGTTCAATTCAAGCACTGCCACTGCCGCCACTCTGCGCTAGCGAGTGGCCAGACCAGAGTGGTGAATGAAAGTCTGTTGAAGTCGATTTTTACCACAAATAACACACTGAATGTTCGATAATAACCCAACAAAATTTTGCACCTCATTGAACCCACCAATGAATACTCCGTCACTGCAGTAACCCAATTAAAAGCCAACGTTACACATTGCTAATGTACCCATGTGGTTCCGTGTTTACGTTGGTCATTTCCATTCATTAAGCAAGAAAGCGCAACACACACACTACACAGACACCCAGAAATCGAACTTCCTTCCGGTTTTGCAATCGACCTATTGGTAGTTTCACTCCGCGAATAATTCGCATAATAATGTATAAATTTGCCTCAATCGTAGCATATTAAAAATAATTATATTCAAATCTGCTTTATCTTTCTATTTCTTCCCCATCAATTTTTCTTTCAGCCCCGTCTTTGTTGTCTATGTCCATGACTTTCGTTTTCTTTACAATACAATGTAAATCTTTTCAGTAACTGTGTTCTTTGGCGTATTAAACTGTGTGCTTGGTTATCATGCAGGTAGACGCAAATAGTCTTCGGCCTAGGCCTATAATAATTCTTCTTTTGAGTTTTTCCAATATTTGGAGCTTATTTCTTGGAACTTTCAGCGATAAAATACTCAGTCTCTTGCCGTTTTGCCAGCCTGTGTTGTTTTGGTTCGAGGCCAAGTTTCTGTCTTTTTTCCCCTTTTTCGGTAAGCTCTCCGGCCGCTCCCTGTCTTGTCTTCTACACTTTGCTTCAAGAATGTTTCTCTTGTGAATCATGGGGTATGATTTACCTACAGTGTGTTTCAGTTTCAATTTGATTATGGTTTTGTTGGTATTGTTTGTTTGTTTTTAGGCCTATACCTGTTCTTCTCAATACATGTTCTTCTTCATTCTTTATTTTCTGTATCCAGTTATATTCTTAGAGTTCTTCATATCATAAAAATGTATCTCCAGAGCCTTGAACATTTGTTTTAAAGATTTTTCTTTTCATCTCGTTTATTGATAGCCCATCGTTCACATCCATATATTGCTGTGGCAAATATTATGATAGGTCTACTTCTCAGATTTTTTAAATATTTTTTTTTTTGCTTCCTTTCCACATACATAACGTAATCTTTTAAAAGCTTTAATAATGCTATTATAAATTCTCCACTTAAGCTCTGGGATTGCAATCCAATTTTCCTCAATCATAGCTCATCCAAAACATTCAAATCTGCTTAATCTTTCTATTTAATTCTTCCCCATCAATTTTTTCTTTCAGCCCCCTCTATAATTGCATTTGTCTATGTATGCCCATGCCTTTAGTCTCCTTTACAGTCAGATAAGTAATCCTTTTTAGTCCCTGTCTCCTTTAGTATATTAAATTGTCTCTTATCCTCTTTTTTTAAAGGTAGGTTTGTTTGTTTGCTAACGCCCCCATCGACACAATTTGTGGCACGACGTGGTGGAATCAGGCACTCGTCAATTTTTGGGCGTATGGCCCGGTTATTGGCATCATCTTAAAGCTTGTTCATTTGCTTTCCTTTTGGTTAAAAGAATATACATCTGTGTTGACTAGAAGTTGAGATATTTGCGATTGAAGGAGGTGGGGTCACCTGGTTTCAGAGGTAAAATTAGTGAGGAAATGGCCGTCAAAGATTATAAGTTATTTCCTTATCTTAAGAATCTTTGGTAACCGAAAATTTACACGTTTTAAATTAAATAAACACAGAAATGTGTTTTTTAGAAGACATGAAAGGTGTTGAGACCCCCCAAAAAACCAACAGAAATTCAATAAAAATTCATGCCAGTTTCTTCACTTTCATTGTTTTGACGAGAGCCTGATTCCACCACGCTGCCTTACATTAAAATTTAGTTAATTTAGGAGACAGGCTTACAACCCAGTCTGTCAGTGTCAACCATGCTAAAAAGAATAAAACATTCCAACAGAAAGACAGAGATACTTGATTAGCAATCTCCTTACACGGGAATCGAACTCGGGCGTGTCCTGTGTGCGACAGATGTCAAGCACCTATATAATAATATTCGCTATCTGACGCAGACGCCGGCTCTTATCCTCTGATGGCATCGGTAGTCTAGTGGTTATGCTGCCGGAATCGTAATCTTGAGATTGGGACAGATACTTTACATGAAATTTCCCTTTTGTTTCGGTCATATTATTTGGAGATGGGCGTATAAATTCGGAGGTCCCGCTTCTTAAATAATCTTACTTTGTTGGAAGGGTTATTAAACCAGAACAATTTCACTTTTTTCACCTATTCATCTTAATTATATTAATCCCTTGATGAAAGAAACGCTGCTATTGCCACAGTGATGGAAAGGTTGAGCTTAACTCTCTTCTCTCTCTTGCCCTTTTAAACTCCCAGTGGAGCACAGGCCATCAACAACATTACTCCAGCGAAGCCTGTCCTGAGCATCCTTTTCTATCTGTTTCCATCATGTCCCCGCTTTTTCAATTTCCGCTGATACCGCTCGCCTCCATGTCATCTTAGGTCTTCCCTTCTTACGCTTTCCTTGTGGGTTCCATGTTAAGGCCTGCCTGATGATGCTTGTTGGGGGTCTCCTCAGGGTGTGTCCAATCCATTTCCATTTCTTCACCTGAATATCTTCCTTTACTGGCCTTTGGCTTGTTCTCTCCCACCGTTGAGCATTCGTGACTCGATCGTACCACTTGATCCCCACTATCCTTCGTAGGCATCCATTTACGAAGCTCTGCAGTTTCCTTGCTACTGATGCTGTGAGCCTCCATGTCTCTGAACCATACAGTAGAACAGTCTTCACATTTGTTTTGAAGATCCTCAGTTTGGTGTTCAATCCCAGTTCCTTAGACATCCATATATTCCTGAGAATGATGAATGCTGCTCTTGCCTTTTGGATTCTGACCTTGATGTCTTCGTCTGTTCCCCCTGCCTTGTTGATGACACTTCCTAGGTAGGTGAAGGATTCAACATCCACCAATGGTGCCCCTTGCAGTGTGATAGGAACGTCGGCTGCATTCATTCGTAGAACTTTCGTTTTATCCGTGTGAATATGGAGTCCAACACTACGGGAGAAGGTCCTGAGGCGATCTGTTTTCTGTTGCATCTGGGCTCGACTGTGAGAAAGTGAGAAACTATGGTGTGAAAATTATGTTCCGGTACCTTTTACTAATTATATCTTTTTAAAAAAGAAAGAAAAAAGATTGCGCTATATTTAGGCTTCTAAAACCGCCTTTGAGAATCAACCCGATATATATTAGATATTTGATTTAATAAATTAATGCTTGAATAAAAATCTTTTATGCTCCCATTGACACAACCTAGATAATGTATGTATAATATATTCATGTAATTGGGAAGCCGACTGTTTTGACTCAACCTGTTGGGATCATCACGGACTGAGTGGTACAGCATTCCAGATGACAAACAACGCTATTCAAGGAAATAATTTCCTTACACGGAATAGGAACTCGTATCTTTTGTGTGTGGTGGTGAATAGCCTTATAATTTGATAGAGACACTTGCAACTCTATCCCTGGACTCGTTTGTTTAATGTTTGTTTAGGTGGTTTGGGTTTTTGGATCTGGGGTATTTTAAATGTTTCTTTTTTTTTTTTTCGAAAAGGGGGGTGGGGTGCGTATGTATTTTGAAATGTGCGGAAAAGATCGTGTCCGAGGAGATTTCAAGATAATATGCCTATCATCAATGTCTTTCAACCCTGGTATGGAAAAGGCCACATACAAGCTCCTTCCATTTATCTCTGTCCTGAGCCATCCTTCCAAGCTCGTTCCAAGTGAGCTTCATCTCTCTCATATCTCTTT